TTTCCTTCTAGTTGTTTTTCTCCAGTTTCAGAGTTTCTAACCCTAGTTGCCGCCGAACTTGTTCGGGGCATATCTCTCTGCTCGGGACTGGATTTTTGACGCCGTTTTTTTTGTTATTCATATTTTCTCATTTTGAATCTTTTTCATTCATAGAGTTTTGCCGGTTGAGCGCGTCTTCTCAAATTCCAATTTTCCGGACCCGGCGTGGCCCTTTCGGGGCACTTTTTGAGATTTCTATAAATAAGTTGCCATAATTTTTAAAATCAGATTTTCAGACCTTCTTCCTCCTCTTGGCCAGCAGCCATGGGAGCCCAAGGGGCTGCCTTCACTCTTTCTTCTCCTCCACTTGATTTCCTTGGTAGAAAATCTTCGGCCTTAACATTTATTGTTCGCCTTGACGTGCTCTAACTTTCCCCCTTATTAGAATCCATTTCTAACCATTTCTTGAGTTCGGATTTGAAGTCAAGTTGTGATTTGGCATGGGGCTTCCTTGGGATTCTTGTTCACCGTGTTGTCCTCGACAAAACCCCGAAGTATTGTTGGATTCGAAGCCGTTTCGTTTCGGTGGGGATTTGAGATTTTCATCTCAAATTAAGGTAGGGGGTGTTATAGGTTATTATTTTTGTTATATTTCATGCTAGTGATGCTTATGCAACTTATTTACATGCTTTGGTAACAAATCTAGAGATTTTATTATTTATTTTTCTTGTGAAGGATTTCATTTTCCCGGTTGATTGTAGCTTTGTTTAAACATGTGGCATGGAATTATATTATCCCTTGATATGGTCATTGACATATATTAAATTGAGAATTTTTGGACAAGTAATGAAGATTTTATTTAATATTTTTCTTGAGTAAATATTTAATTCATGTAGCCTTATCTATCTTGAAATTAATATATATTAGCATATTATGTTAGGCTTTAATACACTCTTCAACATATGTGAAATTGAAAGTAATCGGAGATGTTTTAAAATCTAGTAATTATTAATTAATTTGATTAATTAATTTGCTCCAAGTTCACTATTCATTTCTTTGAAATTCCGACTTGATATTCTTGATGTGCATACCATATACTTTCACATATATTAAATCTAGAATATTCGATTAGGTTTTGAAACCTTTCATTTAATTAATTTCCTTGTTTGAGATTTAATCCTCATGATGATCTACAACTTGGAATTAAAGTGTGGCATGCTAGTAATTTAGGCCTTGGTATACTCGTTAACAAATATTAAATTGGAATCATTTGAATGAGAATTGTAACTTTTATTTAATATTTATCTTTGGTGAAAGTTAAATTTGCATAGGTGTAACTTGCATGAAATAAGCTTGTAATGTGATATTACAATAGGCTTTGGCATGTTCCCTACCATATGTTAATTTGAGAACATTTAGATGAGTTTAAAAATCTAGAGATTTTAATTAAAAGGATTAATTAAAATCTATTTAATGGTTCCCTTGGCTTAATTAAGTTTTTAACTTGATATTTGTAATGACCATGACTTGTTTACTAGCATATAGTAATTTGGGACCATTTGAAGTTGCTTTAGAATCTTGGGATTTAAATTAGCATGATTCAATTAAAATTCTACTTTATTACTCCAACAACCTAATTGAGTTTTAGAATGGATATAGGTGATGACCATGCTATGTTCTTTAATATGTATTAATTTGAGGTTATTTGGAATTGAATTGGGATCTAGAGAATTTAATTATGTTTATTTAATTAAATTCTATCTAATTGCTCCATGGATTTAATTGCGTCTTGGAAGTTGTTTCTATGTTTAAATCATGAACTTAGACTAGTTGTGTATTCACTTGGTTACATTTGAGCTTTTGATAACATTGTTGTTATATTTAAATTCATGAGCTTATGTTTTCAATGTTGAAAGATATTGTTATAGCGTGTAATGAATCGCACACTGAAGATTCGACATTGGTCATGCCATAGTAGTTGTGGACTTAGTACATGTATTGTATGTGTTTCCAGATTTGGTTGTGCTTGGTAGATAGTTGATATCTTGTATATACATGTTGATATATACGTTGTTGCACAACTTGTTGATTTTGGAAACTTGGGGATATCGTTATTTGGCTAAGGCTAGGACTTGGTTCTAGTACGGGGGATTGTCCCTTTATATAGTCTAGTGCGCACATATGGAGGTTACCCACGGGCTAGTAACCCTAAAGTAACTATGGTGTCTGTCTGATCCGGCGTGACGTCCAAGTATCCACTTTGGTTGATTTCGCATTTCTTTTCAAGTTGATAACTAGATGATATCGTAACTTGTTGTTTTTTTATTTGATTTACCATTTTAAGTTGCAAGATGGTAACTTTGAGAAATCATGCTTTATGTGTTGTATTGGAAGTTCCAATGTTGGTTAAATTGTATCGATATCATGATTTGTGTTTTGATGTTCAAATGTAATTTAGGAATGATCCTATAGATTCATTTTGAACATAGACGTTAGGTGGCATGACCCACTCTTGTTGTTTTCGTATTTTAGGTTTCAAGTTGATGACTTTGAGAATCTATATCTTGTTGCTTGTATAACATGTTTCTATGTTGTTGAGATGCATGAATGATGTGATTTATGCTAGAAACCCTCTAAGGTAGCTTAGGATGCTTCCTGAGTCTCATTTTGATATAGACATTAGGTAGCATGAACCCTTTTAACATGTTTCACCATAAGGTGATAAAATTGTAAAATGTTAGGTCAATGCATGCTCATCTCCTACGAGTAGCTTTATGTTACTCATCCACGTAGTAGGGATATTTTTCAGGTACATGAATCAATGTTGAGATTCTCATTATGCTTGGATGATTTGTGGACTTGAAGATTTCCATTCTTGTGAAAGTTAGCCTGAAATGCCATTTGTAGTCATTTTGTCAAATGTGTATATTTGATTCCAAACTTGTATTACGTGCTTAAGCACACTTTTTGGTATTCATTCTATGTATATGATATGTGGCCAAGGGCCAAACTTCATTTGTAATCCATGTATATTGAAAAATGTAGAATTTTGCCTTTAATGAGAAAAACATGAAAACTTGGGTTTCAATATGTCATTTTCACACTGGTGTGTACATTGTGTATGTAATTCATCCTTTAGCATTTATTTTCCATATGTGAGGTGTGGCCAAAGGCTAAACACCATTTAGTTTTTATTTTTGCATTTTAGTTCACATATTACATTTTTGGGCTAAAATAATAGAAACCGAGCCTTTAAGGGTTCAATTTCAAATCGGGTGATGTAAAGTGTGTTCTGGCACCTCCACTAGGTCTCATATATCTTATATGAAGTGTGGCCAAGGGCCAAACGGTCATTTGAAATCATTTCCTAATTTTGGTTTCCATATTTTCCATTTCAAGTTCATTTTCGCCTTTTTGGCCGTTGGGGGGTCGGATTTTGACTCGGCCATTTCCGGGAGCCGCGGACCATTCCCGTACGCTCAAAATCACCATTTACGTCTACGTGCATGATCATTTCCAGGAAAAACCCTTTCCTTTGTGATTTGAGCCTCCTATGGAATCATTTTTCAATTTTTTTGCATAATCTGATTTTAGGACATTCTGGGGTTTTTCTTCGAGAAATAAATTCCGGTCTTCATATGGTCACTTAGAAAACATGATTTTAGGGGGGGTTTCTTCTATGTGTTTTTTCAGAAAATGTCGTCTTGGTACTAGAAATCTCTCGTGAAGTTTCAGCTTCCAGTTTTCATTTTAGCAGCTTTTTAGCTCTCTTGACCAGATTTCTTGGGAGGGCATTTTGGCCATTTTGTAGCGAGTTTTTTTTTCATTTTCTCCCACGTATCTGGGTAGAAAATTTGATTTCGGGAGGGTTTCTTCTTTGTGTTTTTCCAGAAAAATTCATTTGGTAGCCCGTTTTCAATCTCAGATCCTGTAGCAGCCTTTTGTCCTCTTGTCCAGTTCTGATCTAGGGGCATTTTGGGGATTTTACAGTGAGTTTTTTTCGTTTCCTTTCTTGTGGTCGGGTAGAAAACTCAATTTTAAAGGGGGTTTCTTATTCGTATTTTTCCAAAAAAATCCGTTTCAGACCTCGTTTCGGCTCTCAGTTCTGGCTGAATTTTTCTCTTTCCTAGCATGTCATGGTGCATGCCATTGGACACCGAATGAGGCGCCGGCATGGGGCTTGCCATGGCCTTCGTCGGGCCGCCGCGATGTCACAACTTTAAACACTCGTTTCTCCCTCGTCCGGACTCCAAATCGAGTGAACTTTTTTTGTACTTGACTAATTTTTCGCTGTCTTTCCAACGGTGTGCTCTGTTGCACCCGGTTCTTCCTGGATAATTACCAGTTTACCCTTTTAGCCTTAAGTGCTCGTTTTTCTTCATCATGTCATTTCTCCTTTGTCCGGATTCTGAATCATGCGACTCTTGAGTCCTTATTGATTATTTTTTGTTGTCTTTCCAGCGGTGTGCTCGGTGGCATTCGAATCCATAGTTTTCATAAATGACTATTTTGCTCCTGGGGGCTTATTTGTCATATTTCCGATCTTTTACTTCCGCGTCAGTTTTCTTTGAGTTCCGTGACCTCATGGAAGGTCATCTTTGGGTCTTAGAGGTGTGTTGTGCCTTGGGAGACCATTTTCTTGTTTCTTGCTTCCGCATCGGGATCTGTTACCGGGTAAACTTTTGGGTTACCATTGACGCACCGGGTTGAACTAAACCTGGGTCATTACATTATTCAACAGAGGGTAACTTTCTTTAGTTCCTTTCTTTTTGATACTTACTTCTTTTTTTTTTTTTTTTTTTTTTTTTTTTTTGAGTTTTATCAACATTTTTTTAGTTCCTGTCAAAACACATAATTTATTTATTTAACTCCCATCAAAAGGGATCGAAAACATTAAAGATTAGAGAGAGATGGGGAAGACCAATCATATGTGAAAGGGTAATTGTGTAATTTGGGAAAAAAAATCATTCATATGCATGTACGGTTAGGGTTAATAGATCATTTCCATTTAGATGGGAGAGTAAAATATAAAGAAGGAAAGTGCGAATATCACCTCCCTTTCACAAACATCTTTATATACATTATTTATGGAAACATTCTCCTACAATGGTGTTGTAGGAAAAATTAGGGCCCAAAAGTGTCACTCCACTGTTTCTTTAATACATAATAAAAAATGGGAAAGAAAACGCAACAAATGACGCATACAGTGATTGCAAGACCCAACGAATGCACTAATACAACATAATAGCCAGTCATAAATGTTACCACCATTGCTCCCATAGCAGCTACAGTGAGCACAAAAGCAATGGCTTGGCGATTACTACGCTTATTCGGATCTTTATAACTTGATGCGAAAAAGAGGAGAAATACAGCGATAATGGAGAAGACCATAGCAATAGTATCTGCCAGAACAAATGCTTTAAAAGCTGTTTGTCTTACTAAAACTGCCATGCCTTGACTTGGCCCGTCGTTGCCATCGTAGCCACCTGGTATGGTGAAACCAGCTGCAAAGGTTACGGTCGCTATAAGTGTGGCCACTATCATTTGGATGTCCGCAATTTTTGTTAGGTCTCTTTCTACTTTCTCGGGGACATTGTTTGTGCGCAATTTAAATCTGCTTCGACAACCATAGGATGCTACCTGCATTTTTGTTCTTTTTTTAATTTGAAAAGAGTAGTACTGATATAGATCCCAATATTTCATTGATCATCCATGTCATGAAAATTTGAGCAAGTACACTAATATGAGACACTTTTACCAGGAGCACACGCTTATATCTGTTAGATCAAGAACGTATTTCCCCTCATACTCTTGATCCAACAACTGATGACATAAACCTATGTGAAGCAGTCCTCTTATGAATCTATTGGTTCCCCTATGCCATCTATCATCATATTAAATTTTCATCTTCTTAATATTATAGCAACACATGAATTGAGAACATTTATTTTATGTTATAATATGCTAGAATAGTACTAATGCCTTGCTTGGCATATCATCTGCTTATATTTTTAAAGAACGTAGCAAGAAAAATGATGAGCTAATGCGCAATGGCTTTCACACAACTCAATCCATTGATCGATTGTTACCAAGAATATTTGTTGAAGCTCTTATAACCTGGGAATACTTATTTTGCCATTAATGAAGGATGACTTTTTCAAATGTTTAGCAACATAAGAATCTACGGGTGTCTTTGGGTGCACAAAATCGGAATTGCACTGGTGGACTCTAAGATTGACTAAGTTTCATCTTACTTAAAAGAGTGAACTCCCATGGATGCATGATAGACTTTAATTAATCAATTTACCAAGTGGATAAATAAATTAGAATAATATGAATTGTAGGGAGACACAATTTAGTATTGCCTTATTTCAGTTCATAAACTACAACTGTTGGAAACAAGGTCATTTTGATCCTTAAAAATATATTTTTTTATATTTATTTATTTTGTTTGATAATAGATCATATTAATGTTGGGTTTTGTAAATCAAATTTGGTGTGTGTAGTAGATGGACCAGTTCAAGTTACTTAGCCCAGTTGAACTGGGTAAAGTTTGTAGTTAGGAAGATTTCCCTAAATGGACCAGTCCAAGTTCTTTGCACCAATCCATCTAGATGAAGAACGAAAATTAAAAAGTTCTCCTATTCCAATTTGGGAAGTTAAAACATGGGAAGGATTTGTGATTGATATAGTAACTGTTTGTAGCTAAGGTTGGGAATTCTTGTCCAACAGGAAATTGGGTTTAAAGACTATAAATGAGATAGGTTTGGGTAAAGAGATAGATAGAGGAAAGATGTATAAGGGGTTTAAGGTGAGTGTTGTGAGAAGAGGCCACAGGGAATATTGGTAACTCCCGAGCATAAAAATATAGCCTCACGAGTATGATAAGCGAGAGTAAGTAGGTTTTGACATCTAGTTGTATATTCTCTTTCTTGATTCATAATAATGAAAATATTTCTGTCCATGGACATAACCTTAGAGTTAGGTGAACTGTAATACCCCTAATTTTAAAAAAAGATAGTCCAGGTATTTTGGTTAATATTTAATTGCATTTTTAATAATTTAAAATTGTTTATTTTGCTTGTGTATTTGAATATTTGAATTTATTTGAAATTATTGGTTTGTTTGCTTGTTATTTAGTTAATTGTATGTTAATTTATTTGATTGTTTAGTTAATTGTATTTTAGGTTATTTAATTGTTTAGTTAATTATATTTTAATGTATTCAATTGTTTAGTTAATTGTAATTTTGGTTTTTAATTCTTTTAAATGCTTAATTGGTTTAATTTAGGGTTTTGTTTTAGAAGTTAAGTCTTGGTAGCCGACGTAGATTTTTATTAGGATTCTCTATGGGCCGGTTAGGATTCATTGTAAGGTTTGGCTTTATTTTAGGTTCTGCATAAACCTATAAATACAAGTATTAAGTCTGCTTAGGGTTTTAGGAAAAAAAAACTATTCACGACAGTGGAGGCAGAGAGAGAGAACAGAGGAGGATTTCAGTAGGACGTTGTCGGAGAACGTAGGAAGACGACTGTGCAAGGCTAAAGGCAAGTTCTATACCTAACTCTCTCCCATTTGCTCGTGTTCTTTACAGGTCTAATACAACTCCAGGAACATATAAGGATTAAAATTAAACTAAGTTGCATGTTTAAGATACTGTAACTAGAACATGTTTTCAAGTTCTGTATTTTTGATTTAAATGCTTTCTTGCGTAATTCTTGTTCTAATTCATGTCCATTGATGTGTAAGGAGATTTATTATTCTGGAACACGTTAGGAGAACACTAGACTAAATCTGGTTGCATAATTGAGTTGTTTGAAACAGTGGGATTACAGGAATGCTAGATTTCTCGGATTAAATTCTTTTTACACAGTGCATGTTTATGTTGATGTTAGGAGTTGTATTAAGAATTAAGTTGTCCTATGGACATTCTAGAACCTAGTTTAGACATCTAGGAACCCTGACCATGGAGGACGGAGGTGCTGGAAGTCGCCGAAGATGAAAACGAAGAAGGAAAGCAAGCAGAGAGGGGAACAGGAGGAAGAGGCGGCTCCACACAAGGTGGAGCCGGCTCTAGGGTGTGTGGAGGCGGCTCCACATGGAGTGGAGCTGGCTCCACACAAGGGGGAGGCGGCTCCCCATGTGGGGGAGGCGGCTCCTTCCCCTTTTGATGCAATTTTTGACGAATTTTGCTTCTGGGCTGAGTTTTTGATCTGTTTGGGACATTCAGGGACTATACATGGGAACCTAAATGAGTTTTAAGGTTATATTAAAGCTCCAAAGGGTGTGGGAATGGTAAATAAACCACTTGGGGTTTATTGGTTGAACAATAATCAATTCTAAACAAAGTTGTAAACTATTAGGGAATGCAAGTGGTTTAAGTTGCTTAACTTGTTGTAGAAACTTTCTGTAAATGATTATCAAATTCTAAACATGTATTAATGGTATAAAATAAGCATTGTTAAAATCTATATATTTTTACTATGCTTGTTAAGGAGTAATTGATGTTTAAATTTCAGCATTTATCACATCAATTGTTGGACTGGTGATATAAGCATGATAATTTGTCAATGTTCATTATGCTTGCTATGGAATTAATTGAGGTAGATATTTATTCATGTTCTCTCAATTATATGGATTCTGGGATAAATTGATAATTACATATACTGTTATATTGCCAATTGTTGGATTATGGTTGCGTAGTTTAAAATCAGCATATTAAATTACATAATTTTTGTATGCTCTTTATGGAACAATTGAATGTCTAGTTTAATATTTGTATTTTAAATTGTTGGATTTATGGATCAGTTGATATTTACATGCATGGTCTGTATTATCAATTACTGGATGGATGGAATGTATGCACCGGTATGGGACGGTGGCATACAAGGGGGATTAGCTCAAAAACCTCTAAGTCCTACCTATTCTGGGATTAAGGAAATGGATTGACTAAAGGTTAAATCCTATGGATTTGTAGTGTCAAGGCAACATATAGTTGAGCGGCACTACTATGGATTCTGGATGGATTTTAAATATATTTTTATGGTACCTCGATATGAGCTTGAGTCTCAGGATCGACGGTGAGGGAGCGTATATGCATTGGGATGCATAGCTGGCTATGATGGTTGGAAGTGTACCCTGTTAGGCTTAGGTACACATGCCCACTTTGTGTGCGTTTTGCATGTTGCCTCTATTCAGGTTGAGACTGGCCTATAGTCCAGTGAGAGTCTTTTAGTGTGATTATATATATACATACGGACTATTAGCTATTGTTGAGTTGGTTAGAATGTACATGCGTATCGAGTCTCTGCTTGGATTGTAGTAGGATAGAACTTGTTCGTGGGCCTGAACCACTCCTATTTTTCAGGTGTAGGTCCGTTCCAAGCTTGAGCTTGTTCGTGCTGAGCAGAGACGATTTTCCATTTCACCGACGATGTAGGACTTCCTTCCAGATATTGGGTTTGGATTTTTATCTTCAGTTTTATTTTCATTTAGTTTGGGATTTTTGAATAGGGGTCCACTAGAGATGGATTCCCGAGTTGTAATCATGGAGGTTTGGAAATTGGATTTTGTTAAGTGTTATCAGTTGAGGATTTTATATTCGTATTCTTTTTAGCTTATAATATTTATTCTTATTCAATTTTGTATTCTGTGTTCGGTTATATATTAATTGTTTGATATCCCTCGGGTTTGGGCGTGGGCCTGATCAACCCGTGTCTAGGATCCGAGGGGTATCACATGAACCATATAAAATATTATGGTGTACATAAATGTATATGATTGTTATCTCCATATATATTTGTTGATTGTTGTGATGTTGATTGTAGTGTCCCAGACTTTTCATCGATTTTATTAATTTTGTTATTTATTATTTTGAGCCTTGATTTGTATGCCATGAGTGTTCCGAGGGTCATTTAGGGCATTTCATTGAGTTTAGAACTCTTTGAAATGTATTTTACTCAATTTCGCCATTTTTGGATTTTTGGACTCGGGAAGTCCCGTGTGGGCCCAAGGCTGAGTTTCCATGCTCGAGATTTTTTTTGACATCATATTATTTCATTGTTTTTATTATTGGTGCACTGTATATATGTATATTTAGGTGGTCAGATATTATTGTGGTATTGATGTGGTTATGATTAAGCTAGAAGGGCTTTGTAGTAACTCTAGCATGCATGTGGGGTCCACCTTTGACCAAAGACATATACACCTGGGTTTAGTCACTTTTTGAGCCACAAAATCATATTACTCTATCTCTAAACCGTGACCTTCTTCTATCTCCTCTTTTCTTCTTCATTTTTTACACCATTTTTGCATACTTTGAGCTTGGATTCAACCTACCTAGGGTGGGATTTAGGAAAAGAGTTAGAAGTTAAGTTTAACGAGCGCAATGAGAGTTAAACACCGGTGGTCTCGGATTTAAATTTGGAGTACATTGCACTTAAACCCATTTTAGGGGTTTGCTTGAAATTTGAGGTAGGGGTGTTTAACCCACTTTACTTTGCCTCTTTGTAGGTTTGTTTGACTTTGATTTCATATGTGAGTATGTTTAGTTAAGGAAATCATGAAATTTTTTCCCTAATTTCATCTTTAGTATAGCAAACTATGTCTTTAGTTGATGGTTGTGTACTTGAATGCTTAATT